TGTGATATTGGTAGTGATATAACTATATGCAAAAAATTAATGATTCCACCACATATACAAAAACATATAGAAAATCTCATATTAGAAACTTTTGATGGTCTTAGAACCATTAATGAATTCTAGGAGAATCAATTACTTCTAATAGACTCTGTAATAATAAAAATTACAAAATTATGGTATCTAACTGAGGAAGGACCTGACTTAATCCTAGAAAACAATTTCTTCAAAACCTTCTCATCATTTATACAAACTCACGAAAAAATCACTCTAATAACACCCTCAAATAATGAATTACAATGCTCATTATTACATTTTTCAATAATTCACACGACACCTCCTAACTTTCGCAGCTAGCTTCATTATTACATTTTTCAATAATTCACACGACACCTAACTTTCGCAGCTAGCGAGGTGATTATCCACTAGATAGAGATATAAAAGCAAAATGTCCTCATTTATTTAATTCAGATTCTAGAATATACAAAATTACAAATCCCGAATTAATAAAACTTCGAGAATTTGCATCATCTTTATTCAATCAATCTTTTTCAAAAAATCCTCTAAAATTTTGAGGAAAAGATGAACCTGTAGCAATTATAGAACCAATTAATCTCAATCTCATTATTCGTGATAGACCATTGCAAAAGATAAAAATGAATTTCAAATTCAAATACAAGAACTTCTAAAAATGAAATTAATAGAACTAAGTAAAAATCCTCATAGCAGTCCTGCTTTTTTAGTTAGAAATCATATTGAACAATTCAAAAGAAAAGCGCGAATGGTAATAAATTATAAAAACTAAATAAAAATACAAAGTTCGATGGATATTTCTTACCCAATAAAAAAGGTACTAATAAATCATATTAAATCCGCCAAATGATTTTTAAAATTAGATTGCAAATCTAATTTTTGGCAAATTATGATGCATCAAAATAGCAAAGAATTTACAGCATTTAGTACTCCATAATCACTATCAATGGAATGTTATGTCATTCGGTCCTAAAAATGTCCCACAAATATTTCAAAGAAGAATGTATAACATATTCTCTGGATTTTTTCATTTTTGTTTAATTTATGTAGATTATATATTAATATTTAGTCAAAACATTACTCAACACTTGAAGCATTTAACTCTGTTATCTCAGAAAGCTAAAAACATAGAATAACATTAAGTAAGAAAAAAAATATTTTTTATCACGAATACTATAGAATTTTTAGAATTAATTATAGATAAAGGAGCCATAGAATTACAAGAATTACAAGATCATAGAATTACAAGATCATATCTTAACAAAAATAAATTATTTTAAAGATATAAACAATCAAAAAGATTTGCAACGATTCTTAGGATAAATTAATTATGCATAAACTTTTATTAAAAACTTAGCAGGATTAAGAGCTCCTCTTCAGAAAAAATTAAGAAAAAATATGGCATGGAATTTAGATGAAAAAGATCAAAATACTTTACAGAAAAATATATTACAATAAATAAAAAATTTATGTAAAAATCTACCAAAACTTCATTTATCAATACAAAAATTTATGTAAAAATCTACCAAAACTTTATTTATCAATATCATCAGATTATTTAATTATAGAAACTGATAGTTCTGAGATTGCATGGAGAGCTGTTCTTAAAGCACGAAGAAATGAGAAAAAACTTCTCTGCAAATACGGCTCAGGTACGTATACCCTCACTGAACAAAATTATAAGAATAACAAAAAAGAACTTTTAGCAATTAAAAAAGTTATTAAAAAATTTGAAATATTCCTTAATGAAACCTTCTTAATCAGAACTGATAACAAAACGGTTATATCCTTTATTAAAGAAAAAATTATAGATTCTTTACTAAATAAAAGATTAATTAGATGGCAAAGCTAGTTTTATGTTTACTCTTTTGAATTAGAATATGTAGAAGAAAGTAAAAATGCTTTAGCTGATATCTTATCTCGTAAATTATGTAGGAAATAAATATATCACAAGATTAAAATATGGAATTATATGATACAACTTTGGAAGAAGACATAAAGTCCAACTCAGGAATAACAAGCTATATCGAAGTATTGGATTTACAGATATAGAAGTTAGAATGTGAAATATCCTATGATGAAAAAATTATGATAGAATCTATAAAAATTAAAGATTATCTTAAAGGAGAAATCAAGGAAGATGAATTAATACTTGTGTCTGAATTAAGAAAAATTAGAAATTTTTCTAATCTCAAAAATATAAAAGAAGAATCAGCATATGAAGAGATAAAGATTTTAAATAAGTTCAAAATCAATAGAGAAGCATCTACTTCTTCTAATTATGAACCTTCTTATTAAAAAATAATACAAAACAATGATATAAGTCCTAAAAAGAATACTACAGAAATAATGTTAGAATGTGAAATATCCTATGATGAAAAAATTATAAAAGAATCTATAAAAATTAAAGATTATCTTAAAGAAGAAATCAAGGAAGATGAATTAATACTTGTGTCTAGATTAAGAAAAATTAGAGATTTTTCTAATCTCAAAAATATAAAAGAAGAATCAGCATATGAAGAGATGAAGATTTTAAATAAGTTCAAAATTAATAGAGAAGCATCTACTTCTTCTATCTATGAACCTTCTTATTAAAAAATAATACAAATGAATGACAACAATTTTTTCTATATAACGAAAGAATTAATTCCCAAATATATTTTTATACAATTGAGAATTATCAAGTTACTTATATATATGAAAATTCTGAGCATAAAATTATATCTGAATTATATAAGTATGGGATGATAAGAATGATTTATTTATAAGATGAAAATTTTCTCAAAATATTACCAAAACAAATATCTGATGCTGTAAAATTTTTATTCTATAATTAAGCATTGAAATATATTTATGAAAATATTTCAAACTTATCTTGAAGAAAAAAAAGAAAATATTTCTCTAATTCAAATAGGGATTAGTAGTGAACCATATGTTCCAAAATATAAACTTACTGGAACTTAATTCCAGAGAAGTAAAATTGAAGAATTATATCAAATATGGATAGAGATAAAAAAGATTGATATATCTAACATATGGGTTTATCATTGCTCTGAAAATTTATTTATTTATAGTCATCGTAAGCAAGCTACTCGAAAAATACATGAGGCTATGTATAAAAAATGGGATACGATACAAGAAATTTGAGAAAAGTTAAAAGTCAAGAGTTTGTGAAAAGATTCTCCAAATTATTGAGTCTCAAAATTATTCAAAAAAGCTGGACAAGTGACAAGAAGAAACAATTCAAGCAAAAAAGTAAATACATGACCCATTTATTCAGAAAAATCTAAAGAAATGATGATGCAAGCAATGATTATAATATGCTCAATTATTGAAGATGATGTAAGTAATGACTCAATTATCAAAGAAATAATCGTCAGTCATGACGATTCAGAGAATTTAAAATCTTTATATAATTGAGGCTTCTCCCCATTTGGAAGCAGAGCCTCCCGCCCCTCTCTTCTCTTTCTTTTCTCTGGTGTAAATTAATGTGTGCCAGCCACTGCGGCTAAATTACGGACTTCTTCCTCAAGATACCTGTAAGTTTTTATTTTAAGCATGTATGATCTTTTACTTTTCTTTTCTTATTAATGATAATAATATTATGTTTTGTTGCATATTTCTATTTTGTTTGCGCTTAGCGTGGAAAACGAAACTATAGCTGTGTTCTGCATCTCTGAAGTAATCATGTAGAGTTGTGGTCTAAATAAGATTTATTAGATCTTGTCGAGTATTTATCTTCTTTAGAAATCCACGAAGAACATGATATGAATCGGAGGTGTATGGATCAAACACTAGAATAGAAATAAATAATTTAATATAATATTTTTATCATAAGTAAGAAGGAAGCGTAATGGACCCTCTTGCTTACGATAATCTGCAAACAGATTGAGGAAGAAGGAAGCGTAATGGACCCTCTTGCTTACGATAATTTGCAAACAGATTGAGGAAGATCTTTTTCAAAAATGAATTCCAAGAAAGAATTGATGAATATAGAAATAGAATTAAGAAATATACAGGAAGGTTTGGAGAAAATAAAAGTAACTGTTAATAAACATAATCGTCAAACGAGTGATGAAAATTCTCGAAATAAAATGGTGCTTTGTTATTGTTGTTGTTGTTGTTATTTCACGTTGCTGAACTATCTCTGTATGATCCATTTTTGAAAATTATGTTATTTCTAGATGAAAGGGAATATTTCATTGAAGAGTGCATAGGGGATAATGCTAAAAATGACCCTAGTACTGAGTTCGTTAACTCTAATCAGCGATGCTCATATATTTATATTTTGTTTGATTATTTTGATGATGACAATAGCATTTACCTTTTAGAAAATTTCTACAATAAAAAAAATACAATTAGTGCAGAAACATGTGATAACTTAAAATGATTAATAAGCGCATATGTGACTTTTTACAATCAATCATTTTTATTTTTTATCTTCAAAAAACTTATTTTATGATGGTTCATCATGCAATATTTTTAGTTGAGAATAGTAGAAAATTATCTTCTTTACATTAATAATTCATTAAATTATCTTCTTTACATTAATAATTCATTAAATATAAAAATGTGTCACGATGTATCGTATCGTTCTTTTTGCAATTAAGTTGTATCATCCTGTCTGCGTTGTCATATCTATCTCTCGGTGTCCATATTCATGCTTCCCAGAAGGAAAATTATTCATTCATTTGTACATCGACATCTCTACAATTAGGGATATTAATAAAATACAAAAGTAACTCAAATAAACTAAACAACTTATTGCAATTTGATAAAGTGGATTCTCAACAAAAATATAATAATGCACAACATTGTGAAAATATAAATGCATTGAACACTTTTTTTTTTTATTCCAAATCCAAGGCCAGACCACACAGATAGAATCATCAAAAATCATATATATGAACATTAAAAGAAAATTAACATCAAATGAACACTTATAACAAATAGCCAGTGGTATAAAATACCTGCTTCGGCAAAACAGCAGATTCCCCATAGTCCCCACGAGCACAACTAGCTGCATATTCTAGAGCAACTTTTCCACCCAAGGAGTGTCCAATGACAACATCTGGCCAATCCCATTCCTGGGACTTCACTAAATTAGCTAGATCCCTCGCAGCATTCGCCATGTCATGTGGAGGATCAAACCCTTTAATTCCAGCCGATCTTCCATGATTTCTCAAATCCGTAAGAACCATCCTCCATTCTGCAGATGAAAACACACGAATCTCGATATATATATATATATATATATATATCTAAATTTTCATCCATGTGAGAAAGCATAAGAATGTTTCAAAGCTTATTCCTTTAAGGTTGAAACAAAAAATAATCACATGGTGAAATCAACGGCACGGAAGCTATAACTGCAAGAATTAAACAAGAAGCACCAAACTTCATTCCACGAAGACAAGAAGCAATGCATCGAACTAAAAACGAAAAAACAACCATGACTAAAAATAATAATAAACTAACAGCTTATTAAATATGATCGACGAATAAGCATGCCCTCATCAGTTAAGAAAGCAGAAATACTCGAGGGAAAAAAATTGTTGCAGAAACTAAATGCAAGGCTTAACATTCAAAGGCGAAGATTTCTGAAGCTCAGAGGCAAGATTTCTGGAGAAGGTCCTCCAGTTCCTAGCGGATCCTAGAAGCCCATGAAGGATGAAGGCGGTTGAATAAAAGGGGCGCTTGAAGATGCGGATCTCCTCGTAAGCTAGGGTTTCCAGTGATCGCGATCCTCCATGCAGCTGCGGGGTTGGATATAGCCGGAGAAGATTGAACGAAGCGAAGAGAAGACGGCCACTGCGGGAGACACTACGCAGAGATTTTCCCATCCCACGATTTACAGTGCCCGGCTTTCCACCGAAAAAATTCGTAAATAAAGACTTCTGCTAATTTTTTAAAAAGATTCAATATTTACCATGTCTGCGTTTTGACATACAAAATAAAAAATAAATTATGACAATATCTCTAGTTAACATGGAAAAATGTATTTAAATTTAATTTAATATATAAATATATAATTTTGAAAAATTAGTATTTTAATTTTTGAAAATAGACCAAACCGATCTCATATGTACAATAGTTTAATTAAATAAGTACAACACCACAAATGACGTACATATCACGAGAAACAGGCACATTATTTGATCGTAAGTCTCGGTTAAATAAACAAAAGAATTTATGACATTCATTTTAATATGTGAAAATTTTATATTGACCGACAAATTCTACTATCTAATATAAAAGATTAGATAGAGTTTATATAATCTATGTTCTAAAGTTTCCTATAAGTGCAAGTCCTTATAGTTAATTACATCTTAAATGACCGAGGTCACTTAATAAAACTCTCGATTTAGATCACAAAATGTTGTCTTCAAGAATTTTAAAGTTTATGACCTTTAAGGTCAGATAAAGGAATATCAAGCGGGAAAGATTAAATAGGAACAGTTAATTCTAGAATCCAAAGAGAAAAAAATTAGGGGATGCCACGGGTTCCTAGGAGAACCTCAGTGATCTCCTAAGCTATCTTATGGTTTGGCTTTAATTTCAAGGAAATATTATTATATGTTTCATCATGTCGATTACTATTATTTAGGGTTTATACTTGCATGACACGGTCATACAAATAGCCTGGAAGATAGGAGGGTTTATTTTGTAACGAAAGTCAACCTTGTAGCCTAAAGCGAGTTAGGGTTTGTATTGCACAACATGGTAGTGCAAATATCTAAAAATAAGTTGAGGATTTATGTCGTACTAGACGAGCTACCTTGAAGTCTTATGGCTTGTTATTTAAATCTAAGGAAATTTGTTGTTGTAAATCTTGGAGCGACTCATCAATTTCATTTTTGGGCCCAACCGTTGCTAGCCATCTTTATTTTTGGGCTCAGTCGGGCTAACGTGGCGCGTCGATAGGCCATCTCAGTTCCAGGAAGGCTTGTGTTGTCGTCAGTACTCATTTAAGGCAATGAGGTCAGATTTTTCTCTATTTATTTGTGTAAGTCTCAGTTATTAATCGAACCTTAGCCTTAGGTTAGGGTCCCTAGATGTGGGTGGATTTAATGTGTTTATTTTTTCAAATATTTTTTTTTTCAATATTACAAAATGCAACGATAGATACAATATTAAATATGCAAATTAATCCCAATAAATAACTTCAATTAAAATAGTTTTATCTTTTAATAATCATTGAACTGTCAAAATCCCCTTTAAAAATAACGCAAGTATATGTATCGCTCAAGTAATAAAGGGCTCTAATGAAGTCCTACATATCGATCCCACAGAGAAGCTGGAAATGCCTGTAAATAAGTTCCTCAGATTATAATGTAAAGTACTATTTTAAGAATACAAAAAGTAAAGCGCAAAGTTTGAATATTACGTAACAAGTGAATGCTAATTAAAATGCAGTTGAAAGACAAAGTTAACTAAGTTAAATGCTAAACTTTCAAAAGTAAAATTATCAATATTAAAACTAAGATGTTTTGACGGAAAGTTTAAATTTAAGAAAGCATCATTCCCCTTTACAATGAGTTAATGGTTTGTAAGGAAATTAAAGTCATTTGAAAATATATACATAAAATGTTTTGTGTCAAATAGGAACAATCCTAATTTTTATTGTATTCCGAGTGCATAAAGAACATTGACTAATCCAGAGTTTGGTCATTATTGCTGGGCTGGGCTGGGGGGATACTGGCTGCCACTCCAGAGCTCTCACTACTCCGTCCCCTCAAGACTAACATTATCGCATCAGTTTCCAATCAACTGGACCAAATTG